TATCGTTGCCGCCGCTGACTACTCCCCGAATCCTGATCATGCAGGAGCCAGTCACCGTCGACGCCCTAGACACGTCCTTACGGATCCATCAGATCCAATAACCTTTGCATTAGATGCCTTCAGCTCTAATACTAGGGGCAGGCTTAGGGACCCCGGTAACCGTACTCGTCGAACTCGACAAAGAGGTCGACGTGCAACCTAACCCATGCATCAGCCCGCTGAGTTTCTCACCGGATCTTCTCAGCGGGTCGCGATTCCGATCCGGTAGTAGATTCATTCGCGAAACAATTGCTCTTGAGTTGTTAGGTCTCCTTCGGAGGCGCTCGGGCAGTTGTTAGCAAATCCCACCCCTCTTGGCTGAGCCTTTGCTCGCCCACCTGTCCTGGTGAAACTGAAAAGGCCTTCGGGCCACCAGTAAACTTTCAATCATAAAAAAAAAAAAAAAGTATAAAGGTGTGTTCTATTTTGAAACTGAATCACTACATAGTATAAAACAAAGTCGCTTTCTCTGTCCCTATATCCCTATGTATGCTTAAATCTTTAAAACTACGCAACGGATTTTATGTATAATACGTTTATATGTATAATAACATCCATTAAATAGTGGAGAAATCAATAATAAATTACAGTTTCCGAAGCGAAGCGAGGGCGGGTCGCTACTGAACAATGAAATGAGAAGTTAGAGATGAAACTATATTTTTATCCAGACTAACCTGCGCACCAACAATCCCGTTGCCACCATAGAAGTTGCGTCCATACAAATGCATGGAACCTCCCTTGCCCCGGGAGCAACCGGTCCTGCGCCCCGTCAGCTCCGAGAGCACCCCCAGCACACTAACACCCATGAGATAAGTCCATCCGTGACAACGATACGCGGTGATCACTGAGTCTGCATCGCGCATCGCTGCTCTCATACCTACTGCCACGGCTTCTTGTCCTGATGAAGATGATTAAAGACTTGGAGTGGAACCGTAGATTTAAATGTCTGTTACTATTGTCTTTTTACATAGTGTAAGGTAAATAAGTCAAGGACAATTCCCCTTAAAGTCACAATATCTAGTAGTAAGATATATCTGATATCTATTTAAATAAGTTTTTCATTAACTTGGTATGTTTGTTTGTATGTAAAGAAGTCATTGAACGCCATTGTCACTAATTTCATGACGTCTAATTAACTTGAAAATTTGCAATAACGACAGTTCAATAATTTTATAACTTTGCTCTAATATCAACTGTATCAACTGACTGTTCTTCCTCTTCTATTTAAAATCAAAAAGTATAGGATTTTTCTTTTTATTTCCAGTAATATTCATACCTGAATACAGGTGACAGAAACCACGGATGATCTTTTCTTTATATAGGTTTCCTGATGCGGTTTCAATCCTCCGCAATATCGTCAGTTGTTCATACAGCTTAAGAGCATCTTCAGAAGTGAGTGTGGCTGATGTTGCAGGGCCCTGATCCAATTTATGGAGTTTGTAGGGCTGAAAGAAATAAAATAGTTTTAATATTTTTAATCATACACAAGGGCCGGTCCGGTCATTGTTCTAAAGTAAATTAACACACAGACACAGCCCACTGAGTTTCTTATCAGATCTTCTCAGTGAGTCGCGTTTCCAACCACTAGCCTGATGACGCTGACATGGTCTCTCTAGCTTAAGTAAGAAAAAAAATAGGGTTCTACTTGACACTGAATAAGTGAGACCGTCCAACACAAAATAAATGCACTTAATTACACAAAAACAATAAAATTACTTCGTTTACTATAAATTAATAGCAAATTTCCTTTTTTATGAAAAAAAATACTAAACGATTAATTCGCCTTTACTACCCATGGGTGCTCCAGCACCCAGTACTTTTACAGCTACTTGTGGCTTAAGAATTTTTTTAAAAACTAATGAAAATATTATGGAAATACAAGAAAATAGATGAAAAACAAAGTTTTTTTGGTTCATTTAAATGTATGACTGTACTTTAATATCAAGCAGCATGCCTGGGCACCCTGCGTATGGTTCTAGGTTTAAAAATCATAATATTAAAATTATGAATTAATGCATTCATGTATTAAATTGAGATTCAATATTCTGGATCGTAATTCTTGAAACATTTGCAGCAAATGATACTGCACAACTAAATAAGTTCCGTACGTCATTCGACAGGAAAACAATGTTAAACTTGACACTTGAAGGTTATATTACATAATTTAAAACAAAACTCGGAATTAATGTTTCAATGTGCCACTGTAATATTAATTAATAAATAATAATAATTATCGAGATTAGTAATTTTTTTAAAAGCATTATTTTCCTTTACCTTGATTTCGAATGTCGCCTCTTTTTTCGTGCTGTATTTTGCGTTTGTCGCTACAACCGGTGCAGTCACTTTCTGAACAGAAAAATACACTTAAAAATTTAAAACGAATTTTGTGTAACACTGCCTAGGACATCCAGTTAAAATTCTTAAGCAGATTACGAAGTTAAGGTACATACTTATTATTTGTACTGACCGTGATTGTGTTTCCGGCTAAAAACTTAGCGGCTGAGGGAATTAATTTACTCATTTTATCTATTATTATTTCTATAAAACCCAGATTTATCTAGTGATCCTTCTGAAGGACCACACTTAATAATTACTATTGCCAAAATTTATCGAGGTACATAAAATCACAAGAGAAACTACACGTCTTTCAGCCCTTCAGCCGCTAGACAGATTTAGGTCATTTTAGGTCGCTTAAATTACTGACGTTTCACTTGTCCGATACCGTGACAGTGACATTGAGTTATTAGTTGCCAACATTATTTTTTTTTATTTGCCTATCTAACGGAGGCATAACATACATAAACTAAGCAACCAAAACTATTGTAATTAAAATCAAGGCCATATCTTTGATAGGAAAATTAAAAAAGAATGTGGGAAATGAAGTTTAAACAGGAGAAATAAATAACAACATAGGTGCTAACAATAATGAAATGAAATATTTTCTTCGTAAATAGTAAAATCTAGACGGACTTAAGAATTCGAGAAGTCAGGACCAGCGATTTTGCTTTGGAATTATGTACAATCCTAAATATTAAAAGTTAACAAGACATCATTATTCATAGTTTAAATCCGAACAAAAATGGGAATAAAAAAATGAATAAAATCAAACTGAACAGAATAAAAAAACGAGGTAACTATTTAGTTTATCGACTGATGAACGTCTTGGTGCTGTTTGTTCAAAGGGTACCGCCTTCCCAAGCGCTGCGAGTAACATTTTCAAACCAACAAGGACACTTGCCACTGGCTGCTTTATAGTAATTGTATTCCGCCTCGCACCGCCGCGCCGTTGGTGATAGACAGTTCGATACTTAGGGATGCTATTTCATGCTGATTTGTTTGAAACTTAACCTACAGCCCTTATTACTCAACATTAGTTGAACATTGACATTTTTTTATAAATAAAAAAAATTAAGACTATAGTGTATGTAAAAGCACTATGAAAATTGTTTTTCTTCTATAATCTCTTTTCTTCTATAAATTGTAATTTTCTTTTCTCAAATTCTAGTAAATGGAAAATTATTGTAGACTATATTTGATCAAATCTCATTGGCTAAAAGGTCCAGTTGCCATTAGGCATATTGCGAAATACTAAAAAGTAACGAATCATGATCGAATGGCATATTATTGTTTCTATGATCGAAAGTTTGAATTAATGGATTGTTGTGGTGTGTAATTTCGCAATATTAAAAGTCATACAATAATTAATGCAGTGACTACCTACACTATAGCCTTTATAAGTTCTGTTGGCAAAATTCTCCATCCTATTCATTAATCATCATTTGACCCTAAGTGACGTAAAAATTGTGAACAATCGTGATTAGACAATAAAAAAAAAATGGAATTTCCTCATCTTGGAAAAAATTGTTCTTATGAATCTTGCAATAAACTGGGTGAGTTTTTAAAGTAAATTTCATACACCGCTTAAAGTCAATTGTTCGTTAGTTCGGAATTATGACACATAAGGTAATATTAAATCTCTGATCTCTAAAAGTATGTCATCAAGATCCCAATATTTGTTGTGTAGAATCAATCGCTGAGAAAAGATAACATAATATATCATCATTTGAATTCGCACCAAATTATATTAAGTACATTAAAAAGGTTTACAAATAGTAATACTTAAACTAAAATAAAAAACAAGTAAGCAATACAAACACTAAAGAAACAAAGAAGAAGAAAGAACAACTTACATATATTAAGTTTGGTGAAAACGAATTTACATTTGCTCAATCTTGGACACTAGTGATTGTCTCAGCTGAATATCATTCCGAAGGGACATAACAAGATAATATCATTTTAATTATCAGTATTTATTCATATTTAGTGTTTTATCAATTCCATATTTCAAAACAAGAAAATAAAATCAGTAGTGTGAAAATTTAATTTCTAAGCTATATTGTCTGCTAAACATTTATGAAACGAATTGGTATAGAAACATCCCCACCTTAGGTACGAAATACACACAAACGTCGAGGAGTTCGGCGCTGTGCAGGCACGATGCCGCTTCGAAACTTTTGCATACAAAATGTACGAAGGAGACGTATTGTGAATTACACTCAAGCAGGCGTGCTTGTACTGCACTGCTAGCAGTCGCAACTGAAGCATTATGCAAGGAGCACATCACAAAGCAACCACATCGTCATCTGAACAGTAGGACATGCTATCGCAAAGTAATCAGCCTATTTAATGACGCATCGTGCTATCACTTTGCCTCTTCCGTGCTGTATCCGTTCCACGCCTGCGCCGCACTTTAAACCTTACATCGTTTGTGTGTATTTGGCACCTTAAAACCCAATTTAAAATGTTCTGTGGCATTGTTATTGAAAAAGTATACACACCACCCCTGCAAGTGAGTTGTAAGATGAACCTTAAGGAAGCAGCTCCTGTTTGTAAATCTATGAGTTTATGTTCTACAAATATAACTTTTATGTCTCTTATTTGCATAGCAAATCTAGTTATGCTAGTATAAAAACTGTACATTTGCTTATAAACCAGAGAATTTGTTGCTATATAGACTATGATTACCAGAGATCATCATCATAATTAAATGCATATCTACCTAAAGTATAGTTGGCTTTTATGGAAAGCTCTTTTTTTGTCAGAATCTTGCAATTCCACAATTAGAGTATATAAATGTACTTTGTGAGATCAAGTTGGAGATTGGCTATTTGAAAACATATTTATCTAAAGTTCTAATGTTGGCTATTATGATTTGCATTTTAATTTTGAGTTTATATATATATTTTTTATATTTACCTAGGTAATGGTAATTTCACCAGATATTTAAGTTTTTCTCAGAAGCCGCTGCCATTACATGTCATCCAAAAATTTACTTGGGTAAATATGCATCCCATTATTCAATCTCATATGATTACATTACCTAGTTTTGCAATCAACATTTTGTATAATGTGAATTACCAATTGTTCTTCTTCTTAGATGGGTGAACCAGCTCGTAAAACATTTCATATTAAATGGTTTTTAGAGCATATAGATGGCATAATGTCCATGCCGCCACATGAGATATAAGGTCAAATGCTGAATTGTATTGCACAACCGCTGTACCCTTCAAATTGAGAGAAAAATATGGATATCTTCCTGTATAAGCTTACAATACATCATTTAAGGACAATTGGACAATGGAAAATTATATCGAAACTGCAAAGTTTGAGTGTGGATAGTAAATAACTAAACTATGATATCACTTAATTATTATTTCTGATTTTTAGATTTCTTGCCGATGAAATGTGGTGCTTGTCGTGAAGTGTTCTGGTAAGTTAAAATTTAATTAAAAGTGATAACCGAATGTGTTGTAAAACGTCCAAGGTTATTGCTAATTATTGTGGCTGACTACATAATGAATTTCAACGCATGTAATAAAAGTACAGGGTACTGATTGTAGATAATGAAGGAAAAAAATATATATTGTGGTTATATATATGTTTTTTAATAGTGATAAAAATTGCATTGGCCTGCTAAACTGGATTTTTTGATAGCCAGTAAATCTTTAATTAATATTTATAAACAAACTGTGGTTTCAATTCTGGGAACCACTAAACAGGGGGGCCTAAGTTTTTACGGGAGGGCCCGTAAGTGGACAAGCTCACGGCTTAGTAAAGTAGTTGAGCTCATAGACATCGACAACGAGAATGCCACTACTAATCTTGAGAAATGAGTTCTAGGTTTTTAAAGTACAACAGCTGTCCCCCCCTTTGCTTGCTTGCTTATTGCTTCCCAGTAGAAATAGGCAGAGTGCTGGTACCTACCCATGTGGGCTCACAAGACATACTACCACGAGAAATTACGCAAACTATTCTTTTTCCCTGGAATTATTACACAATGTGTTATTACTTAACTGAAGAAATCGTTCGTGAAAAATTGGTACTAAAAATGTGAATTGCATATGTTTTATGTCTATACTAATATATAAATCCACAGTGATTTTTACGGATGTTCCGTTATAACTACTGAACCATGCATTCGATTGACTTGAAACTTGGTATCCATGTAGAAAATACGTGTGCTTAATGGATAAGCTAATATTTATATGAGTGTTGCACTCCCTAATAATAATGACAATAAATAATAATGCTAATTTTAAATGCCCAGTGAAGCGGGCGATTACAACTAGTCACTCATAAAATCATGTATTCAATTTCAGCGCCGATCATTTTGCTTATGCGAAACATGAGTGCCCCGAGCCGAACGTACGTGACGTGCAAGTGCCAGTGTGTCCGCTGTGCGGGGCTCCAGTGCCGGGTCGGAGGGGTCAACCACCAGACCTGGCGGTTGGGGCTCACATAGACAACCAGTGTACATCTGATCCTGCTGTAGAGAGACGCAAGAAGGTAACCTATATCTCGGACACATCGTCTTCTCCCATTAAAACTATATAATCTCAAAACTTGCTAAATTTACAGGAGAGTGTCTTAAAGGTTTAACATGTGATATTTTTAATATTAATCATCTTTGCAACATTATTTTTTTATTTTTTACCAGATACATTATCTGTCTTTTAAAGTAAGACAAAATTATGTATTAATTTTGTTAATAGTAGTCTAAACTATAGGTAAACTAAAAGAAAAAAAAACTAAAACTAAACTACGCTCTTTTGACAGCATTTATCAGAAAAATACTGGTAATACCAAATGATTCCGCATATTAATTCAATTTCGAATATTTTTGGATATTGTACACTTTTAATGCGAAAAGACGACATGTCCTTTAGTGACACCTTATCTCTTTCTGTAAGGTTTTTTTCACATATAAAGACCAAGGAATTCATACGATGAGACAATATATTGTCAGTCCTCACAAGCAGATACTACTAACGCATCTGTTTCTGTGATCACGAGTCCTAGTTTGAAGGGTGGTACAGATGCTATAGGAATGAGACTTTAATATCAAATTCTTGAAAAACGATGTGATCAGCCACCGTTGATTAAATCAAACATCAGACTGCTTGTTTTTATTGCTTAGATGGGGGGACGAGCTCACAGCCCACCTGGTGTTAAGTGGTTACTGGAGACCATAGACATCTATAACGTAAATGCGCCACCCACCTTGAGATATAAGTTCTAAGGGTCTCAGTACAGTTACAACGGCTGTCCCACCCTTCAAACTGAAAGGAATTACTGCTTCACGGCAGAAATAGGCAGGGTAGTGGTACCTACCCGCGCGGACTCACAAGAGGTCCTACCACCAGTAATTACGCAAAAATATAATTTTGCGGGTTTGATTTTTATTACACGATGTTATTCCTTTACCGTGGAAGTCAAACATGAACATTTGTTGAGTACGTATTTCATTAGAAAAATTCGAACACCTGCGGGATTCGAACACCGGTGCATCGCTCAACACGAATGCACCGGACGTCTTATCTCTTAGGCCACGACGACTTACCTACCTTGCTAACATCCAATGTCTTTGCTATTAAATAATGAATGATTACGCAGGTGTTCACGAACCGTTGTTCATACAAGAGCTGCAAAAGGAAGGAGATGGTGCCGCTGGTGTGTTCTGAATGCGCACTCAACTTCTGTCTAAGGCACAGACACACGGCCGACCACTTGTGCGAAGGGAAACTTGCCGCCAAGAGGAGACAAGCCGCGTGAGTTCATCAAGTTAAACCCCCAGAGTTCTACTATTTTTTTATTGCTTAGATGGATGGACGAGCTCACAGCCCACCTGGTGTTAGGTGGCTACTGGAGCCCATAGACATCTACAACGTAAATGCGCCGCCCACCTCGAGATATAAGTTCTAAGATCTCAGTATAGTTACAACGGCTACCCCACCCTTCGAACCCAATCGCATTACTGCTTCACGGCGGAAATAGGCGGGGCGGTGGTACCTACCCGCGCGGACTCACAAGAGGCCCTACCACCAGTAATTACGCAAATTATAATTTTGCGGGTTTGATTTTTATTACACGATGTTATTCCTTCACCGTGGAAGTCAATCGTGAACATTTGTCGAGTACGTATTTCATTAGAAAAATTGGTACCCACCTGCGGGATTCGAACATCGGTGCATCGCTACATACGAATGCACCGGACGTCTTATCCTTTAGGCCACGACGACTTCAAAAGGGGTACTAATAGGTAGTTTAGTGGCAAGCCAGCTGTTGTATATTTAACTGGATTGGTACACCGCGCGTAATTCGTTTACAAATGATTCTTGTCCACCTTGTAAAAATGAATACTTAGAAAAAATCTAATATAAAAAAAGACGTTCTAGTTTATTCTAGAAGATGATACAAAAGAAGAATTCATTATATTAAGTTCAATAAAAAGACAAACTTACAGAAACGCATCTTGTCTATGAAACGTCATGCTCATAAAGAGCTGGCTTTTAATGCCTTATAATAATGTTACGCGCTAGGGTTCGGGATAAATAAAATTTCACCAAAGTAAACTAAAAACTGTGTTCAATACTTAGAACACTTAAAAACCTCAACAAATACTTTAAAACTCTCAATTCGCTTGTTCCGCTTCGCTTCAGGTGATCCGTTCGCTGTTTCGCTTCGAGTAGTTCCGATTACTGACTGACTGCGTGCCATCTCTGCAACGCTTTTATAGCCGATACCACATCCCTAGAATTATCGAGAATATTCCACACGTCTCTAATATTGAGTTTCCGCTATCTAACAATAGATGGCGTTGTACCTCTCGAACGTTCTAGGTGCTACTAGATCCTTCGATATTCTTTCGACTATTCGGCGATAGATGTCGTTACTCTTACCGACATAATAATAATAATGAAATAAAAAAGTGCTTTTTATAAATTTCCAATGAAAACGTATTTTTTTATGAACGGAAACCCACTTTTACGACGCACGTCACCAATAAAGTGTAAGTTAATAACTATGCTGATATGTTTCCAGTAAGGCTGCCATGGCCCGGATGAGACAAAACGAAAGTCTATGGATCCGGAACGAGGCCCCGCTGCCCTCCGCTGTCAGCAGCTTCTCTGAGGTCCAGGGGAACATGGTACGTTACCTCGCCCTAGGGACAAGGAACGCAAACTAACGTAAACCTTAAGCTAATCAACCGAGAGTTGAAAATAGAAGAAAATATTCCTTGAATGGGTTTTTTTTTGTTATTGCTTAGATGGGTGGACGAGCTCACAGCCCACTTGATGTTAAGTGGTTACCGGAGACCATAGACATTTACAACGTAAATGCGCCACCCACCATGAGATATGAGTTCTAAGGTCTCAGTATAGTTACAGCGGCTGCCGCGCCCTTCAAACCGAAACGCATTACTGCTCCACGGCAGAAATAGGCAGGCTGGTGGTACCTACCCGTGCGGACTCACAAGAGGTTCTACCACCGGTAAAGTTATTAACCAGTGTTGTTTTCGTCATCAGACAGAAGACGAGGCGTTGGCTCACGCGCTGGCGTTGTCGATGCAGGAGAACGTGAACATAGAGTCCGGCGACACCAGCCTCGCGCGCGCCCTCACCCGCCAGCGCGTCGGCGGCGACCAGCCCGCCCGCTGCACCGTCTCCTAACTTCGGTAGACAATTCCAATCTATCTCTTTCACACAGATAACTAGCAAAAATTACCATTTCGGCACTCGCAAGCATTACCGTAGATTGGGGGGAATTGAGACCCTTTCCAAATCGAACACAAATTTTCAATGGTTTTTCTTAGGGTAATACTAATAAAATTGAGTTTAAAATGGTTCCGGAGATTTAAATATACGTTGCGCTATTATCAGTGGTCAGAGTAGGTAGATTGATTTTATATACTTGCGTCAAGATGTTATAATATGGACATGCCATTTTATCCATAATGGTTATTTTTTGAAATTGAAAAAAAAGTGTTTTTAATCCTCATCGGATACAATTTCTATATTTATGAGATAAATTAACAAAAAGCCCTGTCTAAGTTTTGTCTCATACTGACAAGCGTCATTTCTAATTCAACAGAAAGGAACAAAATACGGTGTAACTATTCCAAGGTGTTTTTGTATAAAATAAAAAACTGATTTCTTTCACCATTAGCTAGCACTGGTAGCGTAGATTAATATTATTGATACGTTTTTCACCTTCATGCTAATTTCAATATTCCGGAACAAATATCACAATAAATATGAAGTTCCGGTATTTTGGAGGCATATCCATATTATCCTCATCGTTTGACGTCAACGACCTTAAATCAATCTACCTACTCCGACCTCTAGTTATTATGCATAGTTCATTACAAAATATACACAAGTACTGAAAAAACTAGCTTGACCCGATTCACCTTGGCTTTGGGGTGACAATAGAGTATTTCGATAGGGCTGGCACTATTTAGTTTTAGGTAGGTTCATAACTTTAGATAATTAACTTTTTAATATCTATAATGAGTGTATAAGATATTGATGACTAAATTAAACTATTTAATATTCTTAAACACTAAATAAAAGTAATTTTCAGTTCAACAAAGTGAAATCTAACAACTCAACAAGAGTATCGTGACATCCCAGATTTGTCCCTATTCTAACTCTAGTCTCTATTCTCCCCAATCTACTGTACTCAATATGTTTAATTTGATAAATTCTACTAAAGTTGTGCTGTATATATTGACTTAATGTCTATTTATCTCTATCACTACACTCTGAGCTCTAGTAACGTCTGAACATTGGTTGGATCTGTTGGAATACGAACTTCAGTGATGTATTCATTATCATAATCTTAAGCTAAAGTGTTGGATCTGATTTTGAATCGGTTGAAAATAACTGTGGGAAGTTATTGTAAAATTCGAGTGATAGTTAAAAATGTTCAGCGAAAAATCGATCAAATTGAAAACTCATTAAAACACTGGCAACACTCAAACAGGATATTTAGATGCGGCAACTCTTTGAATAAATCTTTGAATAATTTGAATAAATCGTTTGAATAAATCAGAATAAATACTTTTAATATTATAATAATAGTGAAAATTGTTCATTGATTACATTAATATCATATTGTTGATTTGTTACGAAATAAGTATTAAGATATAATATTGTCAAAGTAATATGTACAGGTAACCCTCCCGCGGTATTTTATAACACTATTCGACTCTAACACGAAGAGATAAATTCACCAAAACCCTCTTATAATACGATAATGAGATTTTTGTTTAAAATAATTTAGGAAATTACATTATGCATTATGAACACACAATATCTTGGAATAACTGAAATTTTAATGCAATTTTTTTATGTATAATAGATAAAATAATTGTATAAATAGACATGCTTTAACAAAAACCGACTTCAAATAGAAAAAAACAGATTATTCCAAAACAAATGAATATGCACTAAAAACAATAATCATCGAAATCGGTTGGCCCGATATTGAGTTATTCATCTATTTGTCGCGCACGTACTTAATGCAAATTTAAGACTTATATGGTTTTCTCATGGATACCATTATCAGAACTGGACTAAATTGAAATGGGATCACACGGGAAGCGTCAGCTTTCTAATAAAAAAAGAATCATCAAAATCTATTCACCCAGTCAAAAGTTGAATTGAGAACATCCTCCTTTTTTGAAGTCTGCTAAAAATACATACAGGCATAGTTGAGATGTTTAATTCAGAAAAATAACTCCTCTCTGTACTGGCTTCCAGTGTCATATAACACGGTTTCACACAACACGTGGCTTTGTATCTACCGTGTTATAGGAAGGTTATATTTTGTAATGATTTGAATAATAAATCGAAATAGGCCATCACAGTCACTGAATAAATAGGCCAATGTTAATCACCGAGTCAGAATGAAATTTAATGACTGAATCGATAAGTAACTCAGCACTTGTTGTTAGTGAGAATAAACATATCGTCTTCTCGCGTTAAAACTATAATCTCAAAACTTACAAATTTTTCAGGAGTGTTTTAAAGGTTTAACAAGACTTTCACTGATAGGTAGCTGATGATATAAGGAGTAAATTAGGCTACTTTTTTTAGCCTAGCTTCGCCCCGCGGCGTCACCCGCGATACGACAATAACTGCGGGTAACATCGCGGGACTCGGCTATCGATAATAAAATTTAATGTTTCCGAAGCGAAGTGAGGGCGGGTTGCTAGTATAATATAGAAGTATTGTCCGCCCGTTGATATAATCAGAACGGACGACATTAATTAAAAGTTATTGATTAGCTTTACTTAATGTTATCAATAAGAAAGAAAATGCGTGTTTTTTACTACCGTCAAATCTGTAAAATACCAAAACATTAGAAAATGTAATAGATAAATTGAATTTAAGTTTTTTAGGTGTCTATGATTTTTGTTCGAATTCTATCAACGGGCGAACATTATGTCGTATCGTAAATAAATAAATAAATAAATAAACTTACTATTTTCAAATGTAAATGTTTTCAAGGAATACTGTTCGGAGTTGTTCGTTAATTGCAATTTTATAATAGTAACGTGGAGATACGACTTTATGTTACTGATAATGCTGTTGGAAAAGTTAGCGGAATCGTCATGAATTTAGATGAAGTTATTTGCTAAGTGAATTTATTAATATATATTTTTTAATACTGTATAAACTATTATATGTATGTATGTATGTATGTATGTATTTGTAATTTAATATAGACTTCCTTGCACCTACCACTATTTACTCTGCACTACCTTTGGTTGACTGGTAGAGAATGCCTTAGGCATTAAGTCCGCCAATGTAAGTTTTACATGAAGTGTAATAAATAAATAAATAATGTTTAGGCACATTTTGAGGTGCGAGATTGAAGACTGCTGTAGTCGCTTTGGGTAATAATTCCAAAACATATAGGTAGGGCGGCGGTGTCATTATGTGTGGACCAACGCGTCCAGTGGTGGGGGGCCGCGGGGGTCGATTCTGATCGGAGGGGGGCCGCCCCCGCCGCGCGCCCCTCATCTCCCCCGCCGCGCGCCCCTCATCTCCCCCCGCCGCCCCGTTGAAACTTCAACGTTCCCTACAAGCTCTAGTTCTATTGTTAAATATTTCGGTATCCGCTCAACACCCGATGAGCTTTGAGCTCGTGTTCCTGTGCTAATAGTAAAATGTTTAAATCAGACGTATGTATGTATTCGTTCTGAATGAATTAACTTAAAGCTTGTGATTTTTTCAGCTTAATTATAATAATTATTCGAATTGTAATGTTTGAAAATCGTGTTATTATATTTTTGAGATGATTATGATTGTTATAAATCGTTAAAGAACTGATGATTCGTTGTGTTTTATTTTTCTTGGCGATCGGCGAACCTGTGCGACTCTGCAATTCCGAACCGGTGCTAGATTCAGCGAAGCACTGCTCTTGCTAGGGCTACACAGTGTTAGTAGATTCTCTCAGGTTGAGCCCTACCTTTACTGGTGGTAGGACCTCTTGTGAGTCCGCGCGGGTGGATACCACCACCCTGCCTATTTCTACCGTGAAGCAGTAATGCGTTTCGGTTTGAAGGGTGGGGCAGCCGTTGTACTGTAAAAAGTGAGACCTTAGAACTCATGTCTCAAGGTGGGTGGCGGCATTAACTTGTTCATGTCCATGGGCTCCGGTTACCACTTAACACCAGGTGGGCCGTGAGCTCGTCCACCGATCTAAGTAATAAAAAAAAAGAACTGAATTGACAACTGAACTGAACTAAACTGATGACAACGGCGGTACTGACCAGGACGACCTTTGAGGACACGCGAAAAATGTTAAGGTTTCATTTCTTTAGTTCAATTACCGGAGAAGCACCCTACGGAACCCTCCACTGTTCGTTGTCGATACGGACTTGTCCTATTCTTCATCCAAAATGAGGTCAACGTGGGACTGAATTAAATAACATAATTTAGTAATTAAATTTAATTACATTGAATAATATAAGTACATAGATAATTTTACATACATTTTTTTTTGTTCTTCTTTACCTAAATATCATTGTGGTAATTTTAGTAAAATTTAAAATAAATAAAGCTACAAGATAGACGGCACAGCTAATACAACCAAAACATTTTAAAATCAAATTATTGAATTTCTTTTACAAAGAGGAAATTAAAAAAAAAAAAAACAAAATATCCCTATATAATACTTTGTTAATAATTTAGTTGCCTACCACCCTTACCAACTTAGAATGTTAAATGATTTCAATGAATAACACATTCACTTACGTAATAAAAAAAATCAATGAAGGTAATACATACATGGGTACATAATTGAACAGATGGTCATTAAAGGCATAATGTCGTATGTGGATGATTTAAACATTCCAAACTGTAAGTTTAATTCCTTTTTTTTATTGCCCTTGTAGACAGACGAGCATACGGCCCACCTGATGGTGAGTGGTTACCGTCGCCCATGGACTTCAGCAATGTCAGGGGCAGAGCCAAGCCGTTAAGTAACACCGTGGAGGGGAGCTTAATTCTATCGTATTCATCAATATTTATAGGTACATCCGTTTCAGTTCCATATTTCTTTGAATAATTGAATCAATAATAATTGTTTAAAAATAGAGGCTCCAAGAATAAAGAAAAATCACAATAATCGTACAGTCAGAGAATTTTTCAATAAACAAATCCGACGTTACGGCTCCAAAGTCGTCTAGCTTCACAAACTGCTTAGCAGGGCCTTATTGTGCAGAGTTCTGAACTTGTGGTTGTCGTTGAGGTAGCTCGTGATGAACTCTGGCGGGTCCCGGGACAGCACCAGCTCGAGGCTCATGTAGCGCGCCGCCGTGAGCCGCTTGCGCTCGGCGCCGGAGCGACACAGCCGCCGGTGCGCGCGCCCCACGAACTCGGACGCCCGGTCCTCCACCAGCCGTGACGTCACGCGCTNGGCCTTATTGTGCAGAGTTCTGAACTTGTGGTTGTCGTTGAGGTAGCTCGTGATGAACTCTGGCGGGTCCCGGGACAGCACCAGCTCGAGGCTCATGTAGCGCGCCGCCGTGAGCCGCTTGCGCTCGGCGCCGGAGCGACACAGCCGCCGGTGCGCGCGCCCCACGAACTCGGACGCCCGGTCCTCCACCAGCCGTGACGTCACGCGCTCTCCAGACGCGCCCTCCAACGCGGCCTGGAATGTTCACGAAGTCTTAGGGCCGAATCACACCGGAATGCCAGCGGCCTCCGGCGGCGCCTGCTAGACTGCACGCGCCTAGTCTCCTCTTGACTAGTTTAGTTTCTTCATTCGGCAATGATACTCGTGTGTTTGGAGTGAACATGATGGAATTGGTTATTATATATTATAAGAAGTCGGTGCCGCTCGCGGCCTTGTGTCGCCGCTGGCAGCCGCGGGCAGAACCACCGACAAAATGCACATGTGGCTGTTCGCTTCACCGCGGGCGAGCGGCGGCTGCGTCGCGACCTTTTCTAGCTTTTAAAGAGATACTGATCTTTTAAGTATATACATAAAGTTTAATATTATTTCACACTGAAAGTGCTCGCCGCGAGGTTGCCGGCCGCTGCCATTCCGGTGTGACTCGGCCCTTAATAGCGGCTGGCTGCGATTGCAATGAGCTAATCATAACCTCGACAACCACGTTTCAAATTACTCAATGACAAAGTCTAAGTGTCCGCGACTGGTGACTGACTGACACGTTTTACTGGTGGTAGGACCTCTTGCGAGTCCGCGCGGGTAGGTACCACCACCCTGCCTATTTCTGCCGTGAAGCAGTAATGCGTTTCGGTTTGTAGGGTGGGGCAGCCGTTGTAACTATACTTGAGACCTTAGAACTTCTATCTCAAGATGGGTGGCGCATTTACGTTGCAGATGTCTATGGACTCCAGTGACCACTTAACACCAGGTGGGCTGTGAGCTCGTTCACCCGTCTAAGCAATAAAAAATAAACCCGTTTGGTACTCGACGGTTTCCGAAACCCGTAGACATTAACAAAGTGAGTGGTGTCTCATAGAGAAATTGCATCTCAGTTGTATTTGATGGCAGTCCCCCATCGGTCCTCACAGCGGAACCCCCTTAGTTTTATAGCAAAATTAGGCGGACGGTACCCATGCAAGGTCAACATACGCCTTGCCGCCAGTCATCATCAACCCTTTGGCTGTATGGGTCGACTTGAAATAGCAAAGTGAGTGTCATAAAAGATAACTAAAGAATTCACAGGAGAAAGGACAAAAGCGTGTACCGACTCTAGTGGTTGGTATTCTAAGTCTGTAAGGGTACATACATTCCGCCGGTTTCTGTCTGTCTGTCTGTCTGTATGCATATCATAGTCTTATGATCGACAGTCAGAAAGACAGTTCACTCAAAAACAAGACAATCTTGTAAAATACTCTAACCAACATTTTTGCCATGTAAGAAAGACAATTCACTCAAAAACAAGACAATCTTGTAAAATACTCTAACCAACATTTTTGCCATGTACCTACCGTTCAGTTTTGAAATCAATTCCTGCCTAGTATTTTATAGGCGCTACGACATGTCCTTCTTCAAGCGAGATTCGTGCCTTACGAGTGAACCGCGGCTTGGTTAACGTTTATTATTATTATTTTTTATTGCTTAGATGGGTGGACGAGCTCACAGCCCACCTGGTGTTAAGTGGCTACTAGAGCCCATAGGTAACTACAACGTAAACGCGCAACCCATCTTGAAATATAAGTTCTAAGGTCTTAGTAAAGTTACAACGGCTGCCCCACCCTTCAACTTCTTCTACTTCTATATCGTTCCCTCACTACTGAGGATCGCGACCACATGCGACGTACTTTCAATGTGCTCGATCATGGGTGGCATGGACTGCACGGTACAGACTACCACCGAGAGCTTCTCTTGCTAGATCTGACCATCTGGCTGGTGTTCTGCCCACGGCGTGTTTGCCTTCTATTCAACTCGTAATTATGAGCTTCTCTAATTCATGTCTGGGAGACCGCATGATGTGTCCGAAGAAGCTCATAACACGTTCCCGGCAGATGGAAGAGAGCCTTTTTCGGATGTCTAGCTGCCTTAGAATGGACTCGTTTGTTCGCATGGCAGTCCACGGTGTTCGCAGCATCCTCCGCCACACCCACATTTCAAAGACACGATCTTTTTGATATCCCGGCTTTTTATTCACCATGTCTCCGCCCCGTAGAGGAATATGGGAAAGATCAGTGTCCGCACCAAGCGCACTTTGGTTTTATATCGGATGCTACGATTTTTCCATATCTTCTCGAGATTGGCCATCGCACTTTTAGCCACCCTTCAAACCGAAACGCATTGCTGCTTCACGGCAGAAATAGGCAGGGCGGTGGTACCTACCCGTGCGGACTCACAAGAGGTCCTACCACCAGTAAGGCAGAAATAGGCTGGGCGGTGGTAAACGTCCATGAAAGATCGTCAACCTAAAGTTTTCTAAGTCTAAATTTGGTTACAGGTCAGTTCTATAAATAAAAGTTATTCTTGCGTACCGAAAATCGAATCCATTGCCATATCTGATATCTGGATATCTCTGCGGTCGCAGAATCTTCGATTTTGCCGTTGTAGAAGAAATGCCCGACTCCGGCCAGCCAGTAATACACGAACAGGATCGATATAGCAATGTTGTTTTGTAAGCCTTCCATAGTGACGCCGCCGGACGGTATGGAAAGTAAATCGTGTGGTGTAACATTACAGTCGAATTTGCGATGAATTTGATTTGGCATTGTACCGTTTTTCTTCCATAGCTGAAACGAGGAATTAACACTGCTTGTAACCGATTTGGAATATGAAGGCAAGGTGTATGTAGTTTTCCCTAGCTTTCACTGCAGATAGGATCGGTTTGAAGGGTGGGGCAGCCGCTGTAACTATACTTGAGACCTTAGAGCTTATATTTCAAGGTGGGTGACGCATTTACGTTGTAGATGTCTATGGGCTCCAGTGACCATTTAACACCAGGTGGGCTGTGAGCTCGTCCACTTATCTAAGCAATAAAAAATAAACTATTCAATGGTGGTCTGGTAGGTGAGCTCACAGGCCTAAACTAGGAGAATTTGCTAACACTAGCCCTCACAAGAACAGTGATTCGCGGAATCTATAATACTACCGGATCGGAATCGCGACCCACTGATAAGATCCGACAAGANTCCAGTGACCATTTAACACCAGGTGGGCTGTGAGCTCGTCCACTTATCTAAGCAATAAAAAATAAACTATTCAATGGTGGTCTGGTAGGTGAGCTCACAGGCCTAAACTAGGAGAATTTGCTAACACTAGCCCTCACAAGAACAGTGATTCGCGGAATCTATAATACTACCGGATCGGAATCGCGACCCACTGATAAGATCCGACAAGAGACTCAGTTGGCTGTCTATGGGTTAGGAGTAGTAGACAGAGTCACGAAACGAGAACCACCTGCTAGGATACCGGGGAGGAATTTATAGGGATGGATCGCAACTGATATTTTTGCACCAAACGGTCCGAATGAAATTGTTTATATATTACGTTTCCTGTAGATTCCGAAGCAACCGAATCGACTTCGATGAAATTTTCAGGAGAATCTTCAGATTGACCTAGCGTCTGTGAACGTGAAGTTTGTTAGCGCTCAGATCAAATACAAGACAAAAATCGGTCCGCAAAGCGGGCCAGCTTTGACTAGTAACTACATAGTAACATTCAAAGCCATAAACTGTTTAATATACATATTATTATATCAATTATAATTAACGTCAACTTTACAATTATAATTAAAAAACTACACTCGGGTGCAATGAAATCGCACATCTGTACATTTTCTGAAAAATATTATTTACTTCTTTTTATTTAAAAAAATACATATATTTTTTAACATAAGGTTAAAGGATAGTTCAATACCTATTCAATGATACCACATAAGACATGATAAGTTTACCTGCCTGCTGAAACAAAACGACAACAGCAAACTCCAAAAATTGGTCCCTCAACTCACTGCAGTTTGCAAGACCAACTGCAGGTATAAAAAGGCATGTTTTGTGTAAAACGTCATCAGTTGCAAGCCAACGCTTAACCTGATAAAACCTCTAGTGACTCCAATTGCATTTGTCTGAAAAAGATGGATACTACTCCGGAAAAAGCCGCTCAAGTCGTCGCTCTAATTGAAGCGGGCCAGAACCAGAGTGCTGTAGCTCGACAACTGAATATCAGCCGATATTCAGTTCGTCGTGTGTACCAGCGCTATCGGGAGACTGATGGCTTTGAAAGGCGACGAGGATCTGGTCGAGCAAGAGCTACAACACAGCGCCACAACAGATTTCTTGTAACGACAGCGTTGCGAAATCGTCGTTTGACTGCCGTTGAACTTGCACAGCAGCTTCAACAGGTGCGTGAAGTGGTAGTCAGCAGGTGGACAGTCAGAAGGAGACTTGCCGAAGGTGGTTTGACTGCGCATAGGCCAGCAAATGGCCCTAAATTGACGCCAGCTCACCGCCGGGCTCGTTTTCGATTTGCACAAGAACACGTCAACTGGACAGCCGACCAGTGGAAAGCAGTCCTGTTCTCAGACGAGTCCAGAATGTGTCTTCATGATAATGATGGACGTGGAAGGGTCTACAGAAGGCGCTCAGAGCGATTTTCCCAATGTTGCATCACAGAACGTGTAGCATACGGCGGTGGTTCGTGTATGTTCTGGGGAGGTATCTCACTCGAACGAAAAACAGAGCTTGTCTTCATCGTTGGGGCCAATATTAGGCGACAAACAAGAGGTCTAACATCTCAACGATACATAGAGGAAGTTCTACAAGAACATGTCGTACCATTTGGCCGTTTAATTGGAAGTAACTTCCTTTTTATGCATGACAATGCAAGACCTCATACCGCTGCGATAGTGAGACAATACTTACAAGAAGTAAATGTACCCGTGATGGAGTGGCCAGCTCGGAGCCCGGACCTTAATCCGATTGAACACTTGTGGGACGAATTAAAAAGAAAAATTAGAGGTCGAAATAGTGCTCCAGCTAATCTCCAGGAGCTACAAAATGCGCTCAAAGAGGAATGGGACGCCATGCCACAAGACTTTATCAGAAACTTGATAGAGTCGATGGGGAATCGGTGTGAAGCTGTAATTCGGGCAAGAGGGGGCAATACTTGTTACTAATAAATGATTTTTCAGTATTTTTTGTGTTTTTTTTTATTAATCCCCAAATTTTAAACGGTTTAGTTGAGTAATCATTTTGTAATAAAGATTAAATTGTTGTTGTATTTTATATTCCTCAAGAAAGTAACCTTATCTCCACTTATATGGTATCATTGAATAGGTATTGAACTAACCTTTAACCCTATGTTAAAAAATATATGTATTTTTTTTAAATAAAAAGAAGTAAATAATATTTTTCAAAAAATGTACAGATGTGCGATTTCATTGCACCAGAGTGTATATTGTTTAAGTTGTAGAGCGTAACTTATTGATGCATTTTGTACTGATATAAATTAATCATATTCAACATAAAATGGTTTGTGTGTTGAATATAATGATGTCTATTCAAACAGCTTACATTGTTGACAAGTAGCACGTGACCTAGCAATCCGTCCTTCACGCGTCACTTAACTTGGATGACAAGAAACGCAAAAATATTTACCTATTGTAAAACCTAAACGAAAAACAAAAAGTGAAGTTCATTCATAAAGCTTATGTTAAACAAAGTCTTACGTTTCCGCGTTAGGAGACCTCTCCTTTCCCGTTATGAGTCGTCTATTATCAAAGGTGGCAATCTGTGCATTTGGACAAAAAAATGTTATTGATATGTCAATACAGATTGATTTAAATATAATCGTCTCCTTCAAAGAATACGGTTCAAAATCTGCGTTAAATAAAGGTTAATACTTAACCTGTTATTTATCTAAGATGTCGTTCAGAAGAGTTTTGTGACTGCCAATGGAATACAAAGTCAATAATTCGTTTTTCTGATTTACCAATAATTGTCCAAAAGTCACATTGCCGGCTTTGATAATAGTCGACTCTTATCTTTTTTTTTCATTGTTCTTGTAGGCAGACGAGCATACGGCCCACCTGATGGTGAGTGGTTACCGTCGCTCATGGACGTCATCACTGCCAGGGGCAGGGCCAAGCCGTTAAGTACTCTCCACAAGTCTCATTTGAATAAGGTCATGTCATGGCGCTCGGGAAACACCGTAGAGGGGTGTTCACTCCAAAGCCGGAAGGTACGTGCTTAAAACGATGGTATCTTGATACTTGAACTCGCCGGATGTAGTAATTTGATTTATGACATATACATGACTTACCGTACGAGCGAACGAGATGGAATACTTCTTCTTTCACGTCGAACGCGTATAAAATTTGCATTTATAATTTTTTTTGAATCACAACCCTAAATTACGTGATTGTGTTAACAAAAATAAACGATTTAACATTAAAATAGCATGTGCTTAATTTTTTAATTTCTGAGGGCGGTACCAACGAGCGTCTGGTCGAGCTTTTACTGGTGGTAGGACCTCTTGTGAGTCCGCGCGGGTAGGTACCACCACCCTGCCTGTTTCGGCCGTGAAGCAATAATGCGTTTGAAGGGCGGGGCAGCCGTTACAAGGTATAAAAAAAAGCTGCCCGTTTGAACCGCACTGAGATATCTCACCTCGTTGACATGCGGGACAGTACGCGCGTCGTACACCATGAAACCGTCGACGCCGCAGTCTATTTCCTTCAGTTTCATTTCCAATATCTCACTTATGATTGCCTTGGATCTACAACATAATAATCCTTGTTGACCGGCCTTTTTGCCTCTAAAAATAGCAATAACATGACAAGAGATATTTATTACTGGTGGTAGAACCTCTTGTGAGTCCGCGCGGGTAGTTACCACCACTCTGCCTATTTCTGCGGTGAAGCAGTAATGCGTTTCGGTTTGAAGGGCGGGGCAGCCGTTGTAACTATACTTAGAACTTATATCTCAAGGTGAGTGGCGCATTTACGTCGTAGATATCTATGGGTTCTAGTAACCACTTAACACCAGGTGGGATGTGAGCTCGTCCACCCACCTAAGCAATAAAAAAAGAAAAAAGAAAGTTAAACAAAAAAGTCTAATGTATTCAGAAATACTTAGAGATATTAAAAAAGTTTTAATTTTACGTTAGACAGAGATCTCACTAGATAGAATGACGTAAAGTTCGTGGAAGATCAGTATAAAAGTAATTATGGATTATAAGTATATACTTGAGACTTACCTCATGTGATTCGCGTACTTGTTGTCTATGGACTCCGGTAACCACTTAATACCTCGTAAGCCGTAATCTTGTTATCTCCAATATACAAAAAAACACGAACAAAACCTATTAGGTTTAAGCGACATTTCACTTTCATTAGGTAGGTAGGTACACGACATTTATCTTTGAAATTAAAGATCCATTTTATTTAGTATTAGTATCAACATATATACTTGAGACCTTAGAACTTGTATCTCAAGGTGGGTGGCGCATTTACGTTGTGGATGTCTATGGGCTCCAGTAACCACTTAACACCAGGTGGGCTGTGATCTCGTCCACCCACCTAAGCAATTAAAAAAAAAAAAACAGTTCGATGTTTTTAATTGAACTTTTCAATTAAGTTCACCCCATTCGAATAGCTGAAGAAGAATTATTGTTAAGATATTTATTTTCCAAATCCTAAACTTTAAATAGTTCTCCTGTAAAGTTGCAAAAAATTCGCTTAAAACAAATAGTTTTTCACCCCTCGATATATCACGATATCTATATATTAATACGTGAAGCAAAAACTTTGTAACTCTTTTAACGAAAATTGCGCGGACGGAGGAGTATGAAATTTTCCACACTTATAGAGAATATAGAGAAGAAGTGCACTATGCTAATTTTTTTTTTAAATAATGCATAAAAGATACATTATATCAATAAAGAAAACATTACACACACTACCATGTATTTGACACACACACGCATACATACTATTTGTTTATTGTCAAACATTTCTTTGCAGTCTGCATAGACCTATAACTTCAGTGGCAGACTGTCAGCTATAGTCTGTCTGTGTTCTCGATAGCGTAAAAGTTAGCTCATATTTGTATGGAATGGGATCGTTTGCATACGTTTACCGCTAGGGGCGCTGTTCCAACTGCATACAAAATTGGATTAACTTTTACGCCATCGAGAACGTTAAGAAGCTCGCACTAAGCACACTGAACGATACACATGAGAGATAGTTTCGCAACAGGAATTACTTGAATATGAACCAAAGTCGACGCCACTGCTATCGATAATACAAAAGGTCTACGCACTCATCATCAGTCCCATCGGAGCCAGGTTTCAAAATAGACGCGGCCATTCCTCCGGTTGCGTGTGCTCCTCTAGCATGACAAGTGCTGACGACTAATCTCAAGTAAGAGATCAAGAAGTGACGGTCGATATTCACGTATTTGCTCCGGTCCGGCAACTGATACTCGCTGCGGCTACCTGACCGAATGTCGAGAGATCAGTATGCGAGTTATCGATTTTTAACAACAAGAGGATCTAATCGCGTTTTTTAGTAGGACCTCTTGTCCGCACGGGTAGGTACCAGCACCCCGTTGTAACTATACTGAGACCTTAGAACTCATATCTCAAGGTGGGTGGCGGCATTTACGTTGTAGATGTCTATGGGCTCCGGTAACCACTTAAAACCAGGTGGGCTGTGAGCTCGTCTAACTATCTAAACAATAAAAAAAATGTAGATGGACAGACACGCTCACTGTCTACCTGACGACTTCAATAATAATGACTTGTATACCACCACTAATCTTAATATCTGAACACTCAATTCTCTTCAAACTGGTAGGTGGTCACGAATTCGTGCAGAAATAGGCAGGACTATGGTATACATACCCGTGGATAACACAATACCTTTTAGCAGTAATGACATAAATCATTTCTACTATTTATGTGCCATTAAAAAACAAATTTAAAAAAATCCAGTACCAAACTTGGCAATGATGGACGCGCAGTAATCCCATATACCACAGTTCAATCCCAGAGAATGGTCCCTCAGAGCATACAATATCTCATCCAGTTCGAACACCGAAAATATATTTTCTATCAGTACACAAGCNATACCTTTTAGCAGTAATGACATAAATCATTTCTACTATTTATGTGCCATTAAAAAACAAATTTAAAAAAATCCAGTACCAAACTTGGCAATGATGGACGCGCAGTAATCCCATATACCACAGTTCAATCCCAGAGAATGGTCCCTCAGAGCATACAATATCTCATCCAGTTCGAACACCGAAAATATATTTTCTATCAGTACACAAGCTTTTATGGTTCCTTGGGGCAATTTTAACTCTTTCTGGGCCCAAACGAAGATCTCGTTCCATAGTTGAGCTTCAGACGCGCTTTCTAATTTGGACAAGTAGAAATATGGACCGCTGTTCGCCTCGTAAAGCTTCCGTGCGTTGTGGTACATGAGGACAGCGAAGTCAACTAATGGACCAATAGCTTCCTTACCGTCGACCTGTAAAAAAAAAATTTTTTTTATTGCTCAGATGGAGGGACCTGCTCACAGCCCGCCTGGTGTTAAGTGGTTACTGTAGCCCATAGACAACTACAACGTAAATGCGCAACCCACCTTTAAAATATAAATTCTAAGGTCTCAAGTATAGTTACAACGGCTACCCTACCCTTCAAACCGAAACGCATTATTACTTCACGGCAGAAATAGGCAAGGTGGTAGTACCTACCCGCGCGGACTCAGAAGAGGTCCTACCACTAGTAATTACGCAAATTATAATTTTGCGGGTTTGGTTTTTATTACACGTTGTTATTCCTTCACCGTGGAAGTCAATCGTGAACATTTGTTGAGTACGTATTTCATTAGAAAAATTAAATCGAATTAAATAAATGAAATCGAATAGAAAGCCTAATCAAATACTAGTAATTTTACTGGTGGTAGGACCTTTTGTGAGTCCGCGCGGGCATGTACCACCACCCCGCCTATTTCTGCCGTGAAGCAGTAATGCGTTTCGGTTTGAAGGATGGGGCAGCCGTTGTAACTATACTGAGACCTTAGAACTGATATCTCAAGACGGGTGGCACATTTACGTTGTAGGTGTCTATGGTCTCCAGTAACAACTTAACACTAGGTGGACTGTGAGCTCGTCCACCCATCTAAGCGATAAAAAAAATACAGCGGTTGAGAGAAATGTTTTATTTATTTATTTATTGTAGGTATTAACTGCGGAGATCAATGCCTGCAACAGTAATTACAGCCGATAACAAGAGTATATAGACAAAATGTAATGTCGATGTCCACTAGAAATACATAAACTACATCGAAGTACGAACATTGTCAGAGTTCGAAAGCACTATGGTATGTATGTAGGCTCGATTTTCATTAATATAATAAAACTTAAAAGTATGATCTTCTGGCTTAAAATATAGCCATTCATGGCGTGTCATGGCCACTGAAGTATGAATATTATATAGGTCTATGGTCATGGCATAGCACGCTATATCTGCACCGATGGAAGTCATAATGTCATCTCTATCACATTCGATTATTTACGTTGTTACGAATACCTTTACAATTCGTGGTCAAGGACGACTCTGAGTTTTCGTCGACATTTCGACATTGTGATAAGAGCCGTAAGTCATCGTAAAAATAATTCAAATTATGTTAACGGCTCGCGAAAATTTAAGAAGTGCCATAGTGCTTTCCGGTACAGAGAATATTTGAAATTAAGAATAATGAGATGCAAGTGCGTCGTTACGAACGCGATAGACTATTATCATAAGCGTAAGGTCAAATACAATGCATTATAGGTCAAAGCTGAGACGATAATACATAAATTATGTGTTGTGTTATCACTAATGTAGAAGTCGAAGAATTTTTATTTGTCGACTAGTTCTGATAACACGCTGTCGGCAAGAATTTAGAGAGAGCGGACGAGCATTGAATACTGATGAATAAAATTTTATTTAAATTCAATTCAACGCATTACAGAGACAGATCAATGTGCGATCAATGTGCAGAACCCATTACCTACACATATACCGCAATTCCAATAAGTATCCAGGCAAATTTATGAGATAATACAGAGTATAGAGTAGTTTAATTCTTGACAGTTAGGCGTTGGGGCTCCTGGGCATAGGTATCTTTCGTTTGACACTATACACAGGATTGAAGGTCTTCGTAGTTGGAAGCTATTACAAATATCCGGAAAACATCTGAAGCTGCGGCAACTTAAGCTTGCATATATATTTATACAGTTTCCAAACATCAATTTTCGGACCAACGCATCGGCCTTTCGCATAAGTTCTTTCCTTATTGGTTTACCCCAAAACTTATAGGTTAAATAAATAAATAAAAAATGTTTTTTGTTCAAAAGGCTGTTCTAAATCTTGTTATTTTTTGTAAATTTCGTGATACCGATACCGATACGTGATTCGTACCAAAGTGAAAGCAGAAATGTTGCCTTGGGTACATGAAAAATTTAAAAATGTCGTAGCGTAATATCCGTGAGGTTGGCTAATATAAAAACTTTTTTTTTCGTAAGATCTCTTGCCTCCTTGCCAAAGGAAAAAAAACTAAAGAAATAACTACTCACAAGTATGTTGTGTTCAATCATGTTCCACGCGCGGGGTCTAAACATCAATACGGGGCAGGTAGTTATCGTCAACGGTGCACCTTGTAGTTTACCGCTCACAGCCAAATTTATGTTGTTGAAAGCGAGAAGCTGATTCCTCCATGTTGGGCAGTGACCGTCATCAAAATCTACTTGGATCCCTTGAACATCCTCATTGAGAGCTACTACGAAATGAGCCGTATTTGAAGCTGACACATCACCAAGATCTAAATGTCTGTTTCTAAAATTTAATTAAGTAATTATTTTTTTAATTCGTTTTTATTAATTTAAACGAAGCAATACAAGTTCGACAACATGCACTTAAGGGATTTTTATCAATAAAGGGATCAATGTAGATGGGTAAAAACGGTAAATTTAATATTCTCTTAACTTTTTTGAATTTTAACAATAAGGTTTTGCATTGGTATTTAAAATTTTGCTACAGTCATTGTTATGCAACAATAGACACTTCTACCCTGTTTAAAGGTGAAGCCACAATAACCCGTCTAGTTTATTGGCAAAACGTAAGGGAAAAATTGGCAATCTATTATGACTAAGAAAACATAAATTGATAAAATTTTATATCTGTTGATAAATTTGGCTTCTATGAGTTTTATAGCATTAAGGTATTATTGATTATTTAGTAAATTATTTATTATTAAAAAATTTGGGTAAATTTATTATTGAAAATACTACTTTTAACTTACTGCAATCTAATAGGCAAAGGCGCTATTTTCCAGCTTTTGTCTCTTCGTTCGGGAGAATTTTTGAAATCAATAAAAGGATCATTTTTTATTTCCACAGCTCGTCGTTTTCTATTCTCATACAACAATTCTATTTTTTCGTCAAAATTACGATGTAGGGCTGCAATAAATTCGAGGACTTCACTAGAAAAAATCGTCTTCTGTAATTCTTCGAGTTTTGGAAGCGGTACTTGAAGTAAAATAACATCGTGCACCATAATGTAGTAATTATTTTCTTATTTAATAGGTAATCTGCACAGCAAGAAACGCGACACAGCTGCACTTGATTGAAAGTTGTATTGAAACATTCAAATCGGAATATCGTTCGTGTTCGAAGAAAATAATATCTGTATGATTTTCGTGTTATTGTTTCTTATCACTATATAGTTGATTGATAAAAGAATGATAAGATATAATGTTTGCCAATGTTGGGTGTTTTCAGTTGCCAGCTTAAAAATAAATCAAATTTAGTAGGGAAAAATCAAAGTTTTAATGGTAAACATAAAATGATATTTTGTAAAGTTTGAATACAACTATGACTATAAATAGACCTGAAAACCAACCATAATCACCATTGGAACAAACAACTGATTCGAAGTAGAAATCGCTGCTCGCGTAGTAGAAATCGCGAAAGGCTGTTCGGGTATGTAGGATCGGACGATCCGCAGACGATGGTTGTGGCACGGCGGCCCAAGAATGGCATTTGAGACCCTACCCACTAAAAAACTCCCCCGCACTTGCTCAGGCGTCCGTAGCCCCCGAGGTCAAAACCCGGGTGGGGTAAGGAAGTACCGTGTTAAAAACCCCAAGGACACCCGGAGGCTTACGTACTTGCGGCCTCGTAACTTGCGACAGCAGCGACCGTCTCCATTCGGTGAAGATTACGGGTTGGCCGGCAACCCGCCGAGTACAAAGAGCAGCACGGCTGATCACGGCCCGATACTCTAACGAGCAATCTCGAAGCCACGCTGGCAAACCGGTACCTCCCTTTGGAGGGCGTTACTATGTAGTTGAAGTCGGGAACATAACAACTAGTGACAGGAAGATGCAAAAGTAGCACCGGCTCACTACTAACACAAGTAACACAGAGTACCACTGCACACGGTACGCCGGCATACCATCGGTGCCATCGGGAGTCTCAATCTCTAAGTGGAGCACTCTTCATCAAATGAAGAGCATAGAGAGCACGGCCCTCCTACCTCGACTTCGTGCTGGTTTTGGTCCGCATCGGTGCGATCATATCTCTGGGAATTATGACCAAAAGCTGCCACTATCCGCCTCTCACGGAGGCGCACGGTTGGAGACCCTTGGGTTTCATTACATCCTACGTATATTACTGTTGATTGGTCTATAAAGTAGTTTATGGCGTACCTTGTATTGAGTGATATCAAAGCTAATAGAGATCAGAGTGAGAAAGCTATGAGATATACCTTGAGACATGAGGTAGATTTTTATTTTTTTATTTTTTTTATTGCTTAGATGGGTGGACGAGCTCACAGCCCACCTGGTGTTAAGTGGTTACTGGGGCCCATAGACATCTACAACGTAAATGCGCCACCCACCTTGAGATATAAGTTCTAAGGTCTCAGTATAGTTACAACGGCTACCCCACCCTTCAAACCGAAACGCATTACTGCTTCACGGCAGAAATAGGCAGGGCGGTGGTACCTACCCATGCGGACTCACAAGAGGTCCTACCACCAGTGATTACGCAAATTATAATTTTGCGGGTTTTGATTTTTATTACACGATGTTATTCCTTCACCGTGGAAGTCAATCGTGAACATTTGTTAAGTACGTATTTCATTCGAAAAATTGGTACCCGCCTGCGGGATTCGAACACCGGTGCATCGCAACAACGAATGCACCGGACGTCTTATCCTTTAGGCCACGACGACGTTCAAATCTAAATTATGTTGTATAATGGTCATCTTACTCTTCAAACTCGAACGCATGACAGCTTGGCAGTGGATGAAATGACTACCTAATGTAAGCCCTCATAGGCACTATCTCAGTATTTAGGTCGCCAAGTAGTCCTACGTTCTGGTTTGTTAAATGAACGAATTGTTATATTCTACAATTAGCGGTAGGTGACCTCTCGTTGTAGATGTGTATTAGCTCTGGTAATCACTTTATTTAAGTTGGGCCTTGAGCTCGTTCAGACGTCTATGCAATAAATAAATGTAATTTTTCCTTTCATATAATGAATGTATCTAAGTAAATTTTTGTCATTTTACTGAGACTACAGTATATTTTAAAGCATCTTATTTAATTTAATTTCATCATAATTACAGTATAAAATAAATAAATTTCATCTCATTCTTCTCCAAATCATTATTCTCAAAGAGTAAAATTTATTTTAAGTATATTTTATCTAGAGATTTTTATTAACTCAACACTGGCAACAATGACATTGCAAGCAGTCATTCTTTAAAAAAGGGAAATAAGTTATCTATGGTAAAAAGATCAAACATAAATAATGAATATGGCAGATTCAGATTCTCAAGAAAATCGACAAGTCGAAGAAATTAAATTGAAATCTAAGAAGCCTAGAAATCTTCGTACGCGTATCAAAGATGAAGACTCTGATGATGAGGAGCACATTTTGCAAAGACTTCAAGAAACAAAAGAAATTCAGAAACTTCGAGAAAGACCTAATGGGGTGAGCATCATAGCCCTGGCAACCGGCGAGAAAGTAACGTTGGAAGATGAAATGACTTGTAAAGATCCTTTTAAAGTTAAAACTGGCGGGATGATTAACATGCAAGCCCTTAAGAACGGGAAACTGAAGCAGGTGGATGATGCGTATGATACCGGAATAGGCACACAATTTTCAGCGGAAACGAACAAACGCGACGAAGATGAGGAGATGATGAAGTACATCGAAGAACAACTTGCAAAAAGAAAAGGTTAGTTCTACTTGAAAATATTTAACGAGCTTCCAAACATAAAAATTTACATTTTGCTTAAACAGTGGACCCCCGGTAATCCTGCCGCTGTCTAATCTGGCACCCCTTGTAATCCGAAATGTCTATTATTATTGAATATTTTTTGACAGTCTTCGCTAATGTACTTAGATAATGCATGATTGAACAGGTTACAACTGGTATGCGCCATCACTATTGTACTAGACGCTTAGGTATTGTTTTGGTTTTGATAGCTTAGTTTGAATTCGACTACTGATAACAAATAGGCATGCGCCCATTTCAGGCTCCATCTTGACCATGAAAGCTTAAGTTTTTTAAAGTAAATAAAATAAAATATGCTTATGGCCAGCAAGGGGTGGCTAAAAAGTTTCAAAAGTCGTCATGGCATTCGTAAAGTATTTTTTGTAAGTTTTAAAGTATTACTGACGTTAATTTTATAATAAAACGTAAGGTTTCTCTTGTATTTTTTAATTTACTAAATTCAATATACATAATGAAGTATGATTTGCATTTCAGAATATAACATACAGAATCTTATTACTGGATCTGTAATTTATTGGATTATAAAGTACTCTTTTGTAAAAAAATCTGGACTAAAGGGGGTCTTAGGCAGTACTTGTATAATTCGACAAATGTAATAGGTAGTTTGACACTGCCTTACAAAACGTTTGTCGGATTACAGGGGGTCCACTGTAATTTAATGGTTTTTTATTTCAAGACTGAAATTTAAAATCAATCAATAAAATAGTATTTGCATTTTCCATATCACATCCTTGAGGTTCTGTCACATCATAATCAATTACTAATTTTATAGATCCATTACAAGATCATTAAATAAACAGTATCTACATGTTTTCCTAGAACTCATGTAAATTTGTTTTTTTTTTGTAGGTAGTGGTTGTGACCAGTGTCTAGATGGGATTATATGTATATTTTGATATTACTAATATTACTAACACCTAAGCATATATTACATTAAGCTGCATAAGCACTTATTTGCTAAACTATTCTCATGGTATTATGATAACAACACTCCCAAAAGTACCAATAACAACTATACCAAGTTTCATTGCATCTTGAATGGTTTATATAGGAAGAAGAAAAAAAAAAGAAGAAAAAAACAGACTTAATAAACTTGTTAATATTGCTGCTTAAATGAAAATCTAGTATCAATTATGTAAAATACCACTCACTAAGATTCTATATTTGGTCCGAATCTGTAAAAAATATTGTATTGTAAATACTGTAGTAAGTATATTATACACTCAATTGAATTGCACATACCCTACAGAGACACCCACATCCCAACTTAAACAACGTTTAGACATACATGCCTCTTAGAAATATCATGTATGCTTAAATGAAAATTATTGTTTTTACAGGTTGTATGATATTAAGATAGTATAAGTTAGTTGTTTTGTATCTTTGGGTGCAATATTTGGAGCAGGTTTTATGCATAAGTGTGAAGAGGGCTAACCTCTGTGATACTGTTTTTATTGACTGCAGATATTAATAATTTCTTTAGCTTATTGATACTTTATATTTATATCACATCAAAATAATTAGTTGGAAGCATACCCATGAAAAAAAATGTGTGTTACATGCACATAACTTGGGTTACTCAGTAAATAAATGCACAAAGATATGTTGATTGGAAACTTGAAATGGTAAATAGATTGTATAGTTTGTTATTGGTGGTAGGACCTCTTGTGAGTCCGCGCAGGTAGGTACCACCACTCTGCCTATTTCTGCCGTGAAGCAGTAATGCGTTTCGGTTTGAAGGGTGAGGCAGCTGTTGTAACTATACTTGAGACCTTAGAACTTATATCTCAAGTTGGGTGGCGCATTTATGTTGTGGATGTCTATGGGCTCCAGTAACCACTTAACACCAGGTGGGCTGTGAGCATGTCCACCCATCGAAGCAATAAAAAATAAAAATTTAGGTCCCTACATAGCTGATAGTATTATTTATAATCGTTTAGATACTAATATAAAATTAACTTGTGCTTTGTAAATTCCAGAGGGATGTGACAAAGACAATAAAGACCACAACCATACAGAAACACTAAAGTATTTGTCTCCCGAGGAAGCAGCCTTACTTTCCTTGCCAGACCATTTGAGAGTCTCTTCAAATCAGAGGTCAGAAGAAATGCTTTCTAATCAGATGCTCAGTGGTATACCAGAAGTAGATTTAGGCATTGACGCGAAAATAAAAAACATTGAGGCAACTGAAGAGGCCAAGATGAANAATAAAGACCACAACCATACAGAAACACTAAAGTATTTGTCTCCCGAGGAAGCAGCCTTACTTTCCTTGCCAGACCATTTGAGAGTCTCTTCAAATCAGAGGTCAGAAGAAATGCTTTCTAATCAGATGCTCAGTGGTATACCAGAAGTAGATTTAGGCATTGACGCGAAAATAAAAAACATTGAGGCAACTGAAGAGGCCAAGATGAAGTTAATATGGGAAAGACAAAACAAAAAAGATGGCCCATCTCAATTTGTTCCCACGAATATGGCCGTTAACTTCGTTCAGCATAACAGATTTAACATGGAGAATGATAAAAAACGAAAAATTGAAAAAGTTGTAGTGCCCAAAACAGAAATTAGTGTGATTGATGAGAACGTTGATAAAATAGTTAAGAAAGCTAAAGGGGAAAGAGCAACTGATGATTATCATTATGAGAAGTTTAAAAAACAGTTTAGAAGGTGTTAAAATGGATGAGGGGAATTGACTATAAGGAAACGAAAATTGTATTAAAAATATGTGATTTATGTAAAAACTTGCAGCAGAGTGGAGGTTTAACTTCATATTACCTGATGCTCTTTTGTGATGTACAGAGCATTAGCCTCTATTTATCAGACATGAGATTCATACCATTCTTGTAACTATAAAATCAAATCTGTGGTCAAATTGTGTATATTATCTTTATATGGAAACAATTATGATTGTTTTCCAGTATAATTGCTAAGAAAACCCTTTCATATTCTATGTTTCAACTTCTGATATAGTTAATTCTTGACAAATTCATGAGTCAGCAAAAATTCAAAATACAATTAATCTCAAATTTCCATGGCAAAACCAAATCAATAATTAACTTCATATTCATTAAATTTGTTCTTTCACTCACAGGAGGGTAGAGAGTATTTTTACATTTTTAATACAAAACTTTCAAGTTGAATCTAAGATTTATCTAGATTCTTTTAGTGGAATCCGAGGGGCGCTCGGTTATAGTGCAAAATTTTTGTACTTTTTTATTATTATTGGTTACCGCCGCTCATGGACACCAGCAATGCCAGCCTCATTTGAAGAGGGATAAATCACATACATGCCAAAAAAGATCTCTGGAAACGCATTGTGGATGAATGCAGTATGTATTGTATTTAAAAATCCTTATATATTTGAAAATATCTTACATAAAGACTGGCCCCAGCCCCTCAGATTTTCCAAACAGCACCTAGTGTAAAGTATTGCTGTCAGTTTTACCAAATTAAACTCCTGTTGCTAGAAGTTTTATCTGAAATTATTATCTAAGTTAGTTTTGACCGAGTAAGCCCATTATAGGCATCAAATTGTTATAATTTTACCACTGATTTGTAATGCAGGTTAACCACTAAAAAGGAGCTCCGTGCTTGTTGTTCTCCAATATGGATAAGTATTCTCTGTGTATTGTAATAAAAAAAATTTAAATTTTCATCAAATGATCCAAGGACTACACAAATTATTATAAAACTAGCGGCCCGCCCTGGCTCCGCTCAGGTCTTTAAGAAAGATTTCAATGATATTTAACGTTTTTTTTTAAATAAAAGAACACTTATTATGGCATAACTATAATAGTTAGACATGTGCTCTCACGATACTTTTTGTAAATAATAATGTGTTCTACAAAGTCGTAGTACATTATTTTATTCTATCATCAATAGTTTTCGCAGGGCACGCGATGTAAATAATATTTTAGGTAATTTTTTTTTTTAAGGGTTTTAGTAAGGATCCCTAATTTTTTCAAAAAAGATAATACCCTATGTCACTCGTGAATAGTGTAGCTTCCAAACAGTGAAAGATTTTTTCAAATCGGTTCAGTAGTTTCGGAGCATATTTAATACAAACAAACAAAGAAATTTTTTCTCTTTATAATATTATAGTATATGTATGCGCTGCTGATAAATGTTGTGTGCTAGGTACACCGAGCAAGATGTGACGAGGAGATCAGTTTCTTGTTGCTGTATCTGTGGTTGAGGATCTCCCAGGCAGTCTCATAATTTTCCGAACTGATCGATAGATGCTGAATTAGTTTTTCAGCTTCTCCCTTCATTTTGCTTTTGAGAAATTGCATTCTCTGTGTCTTAGAAAGCGACGGATTGGAATGGATAGTCTCAACAAATAAATCTTTGAATGCGGTACAGTGTTCGTAGCTGCTACTAAATGTTGGAATTTCGATCTTCGTTGTTGATTTTTCTCGGTGAGAGACTGACCACATTTTGATGTTGATGTTTCCTTTCATTTGGTTGTAAACGAGTTCACATGCGTTGTTAAGACATCTCTCATATTGCACTTCAGCTTCTTTGGGTAAACTGTTAAGGTCCCCATAAAGTGAATCAAATGCTTTCCACCTAAATTCCAACAACTTTAAGGCGTCTTCAAACTGCCACTTTTCTTTGAGGAGGTCGACGTTGATATGGGGTACTGTTCGTTGGAGTGCTTTGATATTACTTCTTTGTATGCGTAACATCTCGTCGATTTTGCTGTTACCCGCGATCTTCGCTGCCTCAGGCACCGCTATAGCATAAGGTGACTGATTATCGCGTTCAACTCCACCTGCACCTTGCTTTGGATTGAATGTTTGCTCCGATAACTTTGAGGTTGACGGTGCCGGTTTGTTGCAATATATGTTGCGTTGTGGTGAATGAAAATGGACTGTATTTATTGGTTTAGATATCTTCATTAGTTCATAAGTGACAAATTAAAGATATATGAATATAAGAAATGTGAAATAGATGTGTCACCCTTGGCGGCTGGAAATGAAAAGGGAAAAGTGTCATAGCGGACGTCGCTCGTTGACACTTGACGTTCCGAATCCAAACACGGTTCGAATGTAAAGGTTGGCGGCTTCAATACGGGTGAAACTGGATTTTGCTCTTAGTTAAATACTTGACAAATGATCCCCTGGCACTGTTGTAAAACTGTCTTGTTTGTTCAAAGAATTCTTGCACAAAGTATTGATGAGAGGGATCTTCGCACTCGCGAATCTTCTCGTGATTTCTTTGAAGTTCTACCCAATACTTGTCGAATACTATTTTCTTCTGCACGTAGTCTAGTCTTAAGGCTCGCTCCGTCCTTTTTAAAATTGGTCACAGTTTTGTTCATGGCTTGTATGATCTGGTACTGAGTTTTAATACTTCCCTCCATGTTGAAAAATGGGTAATGAATACTTCGAATCACCGAATCTGCTACTGAAAATGCTGCTGATGTGCTTCAGTGAACTCTTGTATTTGTTGCCGGTGGATGATGATCTCAAAATATCTCTACTACGATATGAGCCCCTTCTCAATCTGACTGAGGCGATATCCGTTTGTGGAAGACCAGCCAAACCGATTCGCTATCGTAGATAGGAAGCACTTCGTACCTGAGGTGACTTGCCGGTCTGTAGTTCTCGAAGGACCATAAGGATGTATGCGCTGATGAATGTGGCGTACACAACTTAAGATTTAGATCGGAAGAAATCACTGATAGTCAAAGAATATCCGTTTATTGTATACTTCGCTAACAAGTAACTAATTCTATCTATGTTGATGTGGTGAGTACCGCTGTATATGAGTGTTGAACGTGTACTAGCGCTTTATACTACGATTTGAGTCTTTTTCCTACCTAAGCTGATAGCCTTGAGAGGCTATATCAGCGTCGCCTTAACTAGAGTAGGTGAGCTCACGGGGCTCAAACTTGATGACGTTGCTAACACAAACCCTAGCAAGAGCCGTGCTTCGCAGAATCTACCACCGGATCGGAAACGCGACCCACAGAAGATCCGGCGAGAAACTCGGTGGGCTGCGTCTGAGGGTCGATTTGAGTAAAGCGATGTAAAAGTGCTGTTGTGAATGCGCGCGTGCCCTGTACGATACATGACTCGTACTGACTCTATATTTTATATAATTAATGCGTGAAGGAAAAACTTTGTATCCCTTTTTACGAAAATTGCGGGGACCGAGGATCGAGGAGTATGAAATTTCCCACACTTATAGAGAATATAGAGAAGGAGTGCAGAATGTTAATATTTTTTAAAATTATGTCTAAAAAATACATGAAATCAATAAAAAAACACAACACACACTACCATTTATTTGACGCACACACGCATGTATACTATTTATTTATTGTCAAACTTTTGTTCTTGTCGTCTGTGGTCAAATTGAGAATAGATTAAATATTGTTTGTCTTTATTAATATTTTTCTGTAGTGTGGTCTTGGTGAAATTTGTTATTATAGAAGTATATGTAATAGTATTTGAAAATAGAATCATAATAGTGTACAAACTTACAATTTCAATTAATTATAGTCGAATTAGGACTACTGCGGGACCACTAGTTTTATATAATAGCCAGAACAAGTGTACAATACTGGCCAAAAAATTTATTCCGTACTGATATGTTTGGAGCTCTACTTCTCTTACTCACACGGTTCTGTCAGTCACATAGTTGCTAAGTAAGCTGAAAAAGTCTAACAGGCTAACAAGGCACTTTTATTATTATTATCCCTGTAGTTGGCAAAGTTTTTTTTTTGATAAATATTTGTGATTTGCACCATAAATGTTGCATTAAGGATGAGTCCAAATCATACAACAAATAAGAAAAAAAATTCTTAAGTATGTAGTTTTGGAAATATATCATGTATCTTTATGTGCGCATTGCCAGTTACACTATCAAAACAGCGTGTGCATTATTATGCACATTGCCATTTGCGGGAATAAATTAAAACACGGTATCAAATTCAAATTCAAATTCAAATTCAAAATCATTTATTTCAACTTGGATGTCATCAAAAACACACTTGTTGAATGTCAAAATGTAAAAGAAAATGTTAACTCTACCACCGGTTCCAAAAAAAAGCCACAGTCCTGAGAAGAACCGGCGAAACAAACTCAGCGGGCTTTTTTTTTGTATTTTCTCAACTATTTTCTTTTTTTTTTTTTTTAAACAAGAAAACATATTTACAGTATAAGAAAAAACAAGTCAAAAAAATACAATTCAAATAAATAATAATAATAATGAAAAATGAAAAGGCCAGGAGCGAACGCCTCATTCCCACGTAGTGCCATCTAGTAGAAAATCCTTAACTTTATAATATGCCTTGTTGCACAAACGTTCCTTGACAGTTTTCTTAAATCTATGAACAGGTAGTAGTTGAACGTTTTGTGGGATCTTGTTGAAAAGTTGTACACCCAGTCCCCTGAAAGAGTTGCTTATTTTCTTAATTCGAGCCGCCGGCAACGCAAGCCTATGTTTGTTCCTAGTGTTCACATTATGCAAATCGCAGACTCTGGGGAATTCTACAATGTTTTTACGCACGTACAATAAATTTTCAAAAATGTATTGGGACGCTAAAGTTGAAATTTTGATTTCCTTAAGCTTGTCCCTCAAGGATTCCCTCGGGTGCATATTATAAATAGCACGAATAGCCCTCTTCTGCAGGATGAAAATCGTTTCAACATCGGCAGCATTGCCCCATAGCAAAATGCCATAGGACATAACACTATGAAAATAACTGAAATAAACTAGACGTGCCGTATCTTCATCAGTATACGTTCGTATTTTTTTTACCGCAAACGCTGCAGAACTAAGTCTATTCGCTAACTTGCATATGTGAGGACCCCACTGCAGCCTGGAATCAACTGTTATACCAAGAAAAACTGTCGAATCAACAAGCTCCAGTGTCTCTCCACTTACAATGATATTAGTGTCTACTTGTCTAACATTAGGTGTGGTAAATTTTATACATTTTGTTTTTTTGTTATTTAATAACAGATTATTAACACTAAACCAATGTACCACGCGCGAGATAGCATCATTCACATCGTCATAATCTTCCAATTGTCGTTTAATTTTAAACAATAAGGATGTATCAACAGCGAATAATACGACCTCGTGACGGGTTTCAATAAACTTTGGTAAATCATTGATATACACAAGAAATAAGAAGGGACCCAATATGGAACCCTGATGTATGTTTAATAGAAAGAAATCTTTATTTATTAAAAACTAGTTATAAAGTTTTGTACTTTTCCTTATTAACATCTAAGAGATTAAAAATCACTAGGTATCTTTTACAAATATAATTGTACTCACATACTATTAATTATTCATTGTGCTATCACATCACAAAATAAAACAAAGCTAATGTTTTAAATTTAGCGCCGTTTATACACTTATATCTTTAAATAGTCTAAATTAAATAGCGGACTCGACAGACGTCCTGTACGTCTTTCCTACTGGTCTTTAATTCGAAAATTTCCAACTATTATGAATAAGCTGTAACAATGTGGACGGTTTTGATGTAAATTTTAATTAAAAAGTTATAACATTATCTAACGTCATTACATATCACAATTTGACCAATAGATAGCGTGTGAGTATGTGTATACTATCAGCGAAATTAAATTTAGAGCGTTGTTTTAAATTAAAACTTAAACTTAATTCAAGGTGAAAAAGTGGAAACTTTAAACTATTTTATAACAAGTATATTTTTTCAATTAACAAAAACTTAAGTTATCGTAATGCCATTGGTGTACAATATTTTTGGTTAATCCTTCGGGAGTATACACAAACAAATTAGAGGGTTTTCCAACTCTGGAACTCGCAA